GGCGCACGTAAAGACGGAAGTGGCTGGATCGGTCGCCATCTTGAGAAGGTCGCAAGAACTCCGCTTAGCAGCTAAAACCGGGATTTGCATCTTTGACTACAATTGAAACTACCTGGAGAGCTTCAGCTAGCTACTGATGTCAGGGTTGTAGTCCTAGAGATTCTGATTTAATTGAACGAGTGCAGCCTAGTATCGGGACTTTTAATGCGCGTGATTCTAGCATGTCACTGAGGTGGAGAACCACTCAGCTATCGTGTTTCTTGAATATACTTCTTTTTCATCTTTAGTCCACTAGGCGCGCTCGCACACACACCCTCCCCCTAAGTGTCCTTCCCTAATCTCGAGTTAACGAAGAGAACGCCTCAGCTAACCTTGCAAGGGCCCAATAGGCAAGCTCTGGTTGTCATGGCAACAGAGAAGCAGGCCCCTGCTAACAAGTCATCCTTTACATCAACTGAGCCACCAGATCCAAACGGTATCTTTCGTGGGCCAAGGGTTTCCCATTTTCAGCGATGAGAGATGGTGCTGCGAAATCCTTCAGCTGCTTGGCTCAGAGACAGAAATACTTTGCCCTTCCTGGCGCAATTGCTAACTCCTTGGCAACTGATTGAGGATTTCTCCCAAGTCCACCCACAAAAGCACTTTGTCACTGCAGCCCATCCCACTGATTTATATCCTCAAACTGCTCTTTGGGTCAGTTCCATTCCCAGCGCTGAATCTGAAGTAAGAGACAGGATTGGGACTTAGTCCCCACAACTTAAAAGGCTTCGGCGACCCTGTCTGTAAAATTGATGCATATGCCTGTCCCTTCTGTCTCTTAGTGTTGTTGGAAGACACAAATCAGGTAATGAATGGGACAACACGTGATAAGCCATAATTGTTATTATTTTTGTTTTCCTTCTCTGTTCCACCATGAGTAGTGCTGGACCCCACCCACTAGTCAAGTCAGTGTCTCATTATGTATCAGATGTGGGCCAGGCACCAGGAGATTGATAACAGAGATGACTAAGAGCCTCTGTCCTCAGGAACTCACCGTGTTGGTGGGCAGACTGGCATGTAAACAGCTAGCTGAGGTACAAGTCAGCATGTGATTAGTGCCATGGGGACATCAGACAAGGGAGTGATTAATTCCTGATAAAGAATGAGAGAAGATTTCATAAATGGTTTTTAACTGGCCTTGAAGGATGAGTAGGATTTTATTAATAATCAGAGAAGCAAGGAACACATTCCAGACATAGAGATCAACAGATGCAAAAGTAAAGATGTCCAGGTATGTACTTTTGCATGCTTGAAGGTGAGGTAATGCGGGAGTGGATCCTAACTCTTGCTAGAGCCTCCCAGATCTTCATCTTCATGTCCTACCTGTACCCTCCTCAATCAATCACTTTTATGTTGTGTGGTCCTGCAGGCAGCTCTGACCTCAGAGCCTTTGTACTATCTATCCTCTTTAATTTTTCAAGCCTTAGCTCAAATGCCCCTCTACAGAAGGCATTCCCTGCCCACTGTAGCTAATGTAAGCCCTTGTGCTCTGTAACATCACTCTGTGATAAGGGCAGCCACCGTGGTGAAACAGGGACACATCACTTGTGGAGATAGCAATAGACTTCATGAAGAAAGAGCTAAGTAAGGCTGTTACCCATTTTCTGAGTGAGATCTGACGGATGGATAGGAATTAGACAGGGTTTCAAAGAAGGGAGGATTCCAGGGAGAGTATATGCAAAACAGGAAGAATCATGGCATTTTCCAAGAAAAGTATTTTGATGTGATGAGAGCTAGAACTTAAGGAAGAGACAAGAAATTGGGTCAAAGGCATAATCATGGGGCCTGTGACTTTGTGGGTGTGTATGTGTGAGGGGAGGAGGGTGTGAGTGTGTGTCTGTGTGGTAGTAAGAATTGAAACTAGGAGTACTCTACCACCATGCTACATCCCCAGCCCTTTTTGTTTTTCTTTTCTTTTTTTGTTTTTTGTTTTGTTTTAAGACAGGGTCTCACTCAGTTGCTTAGGGCCACACTTAAGTTGCTAAGGCTGACCTTGAAGTTGTGATCTTCCTGCCTCAGCCTCCTAAATTGCTAGGATTACAGGCATGTCCCCAATGCCTGGCAAGGTCTGACATTAACACCATGTGCCAGGTACTATTATAACTTCACATATCATAACTCACTTAATTCTCACAATAACTTTCTGAGGTACATAATACCACCCCCATTTTGCAGATGAAGAAACCAAGGAAACCAAGATTCAACAATGTTAACCACCTTTTCTTCTTCATTTTTTTTTCTTTCTTTTTTTTTTTTTTTTTTTGGTACAGGGATTAAACTCAGATGCACTCAGCCACTGAGCCAACCACCCAGCCTTATTTTGTATTTTATTTAGAGACAGGGTCTCACTGAGTTGCTTAGTGCCTTGCTAAGTTGCTGAGGCTGGCTTTGACTCGCAATCCTCCTGCTTCAGCCCCCTGAGCCGCTGGGATTACAGGTGTGAACAACTGAGGATGTTAACCATCTTTTCTGAGGTGTGGGGGGGTGAGGGATGAAGGGGCATGGGGGGGGATTGAACCCAGGGTCTTATACATGCTGAGCACAAGCATTACCACTGACCTACACCCCAATGCCAAAAAGTTAACCATTGTGCTCCAAGTCACATGCCTTCAAAATAGCAGAAATTCTCCAGATTTTGAACTCTAATGATCACATCAGTAAATCTGTCCCCTCCTAGTGTCCTCTTTTTATCTTTTTTTTTTTTTTTTTTTTTTTTTGACAGAGTCTCACTATGTTGTTCAGGCTGGTCTCAAACTCATGGAAGTAGCTGGGACTACAGGTACACTGCTACACCTGGCTTCAATGCATCTTTTTAAAAACAAATATTTAACTCTACTACCCTGAAGTGAAATTAACAAGCAATATAAATTACCTGGATACACAATTTAAAAAGCAGATCAATATAATTTTCTGGCTATTAAAGAAAAATAAAGACAAGAAGAAGGCATTTCAATATGCAAATACTTGGGCACTATTCTACACTGGAAGTTAGAGGAAAATAGGAAACTCTACCCCCAGCCCTAGAATCACTAAGAATGTGATAGGGAAAAATACAGACTGACCGAGGAGAGTTGAATTAGGCAGAATTGCCATTGGTCTGACTTTCCAAAATGGTGAACAACTCTTGATAAAGTTCAGAACAATACAAAACAATTTACATAGTGGTTGCATTACTGGAAAAGACAGGTCATATTAAATATGTGCAAAAATATTGCATATTTGTGCTTTCCTTTTCAGGCTAAGAACCTAAAAGACCTAAAAACAACTAAAATCCTGGATAAAATTTTTTTTTTAAATCTTAAACGCTGCTGGGCATGGTGGTGCATGCCTGTAATCCCAGTGGCTTGGGAGGCTGAGGCAAGAGGATCACTAGTTCAAAGCCAGCCTTAGCAATTTAGTAAGGCCCTAAACAACTCAGTGAGACCCTGTCTCTAAATAAGATACAAAAAAAGGGCTGGGGATGTGGCTCAGTGATTAAGCGCCTCTGAATTCAATCCACAGTAGCAAAAAAATCTTAAATGCTGGGGCTCGGGTTGTGGCTCAGTGTAAAATGCTTGCCTGGCATGTGGGAGAGGCCGTGGGTTTGATTTTCAGCACTACATATTAATTAATTAATTAATTAATTAATTAAAGGTCCATGGACAACTAAAATATATTTTAAAAAAAATCTCAGAGGGCTGGGGCTATGGCTCAGCAGTAGCGCACTTGGCTGTCATGTGTGAGGCACTGAGTTTGATTCTCAGCACCACTATAAATAAATAAAATAAAGATCTATCAACAACTAAAAAAATGTTTAAAAAAAAAATCTCAGGCTGGGGTTGTGGCTCAGTGGCAGAGCGCTTGCCTAGCATGTGTGAGACATTGGGTTTGATTTTCAGTGCCACATCAAAAAATAAATAAAATAAAATAAAGGTATTTGTCCATCTGTAACTAAAAATATTTTTTAATATTTATTTAGTTGTAGATTAACACACAGTATCTTTATTTATTTTTATGTGGTGCTGAGGATTGAACCCAGTGCCTCACACATGTGAGGCAAGTACTTTACCACCAAGCTACAGCCTCAGCCCCTAAAAATATTTTTTAAATATCTCAAATGCTGGGCTGGGATTGTGGCTCAGCAGTGGAGCGCTTGGCTAGCACGGGCGGGACCCGGGTTCCATCCTCAGCACCACATAAAAATAAAGGCATTGTGTTGTGTCCATCTATACCTAAAAAATAAATATTTTAAAAAATATATCTCAAATGCTGAGCTGGGCATGGTGGTGCACACCTGCAATCCCAGCAGCTAGGGAGGCGGAGGCAGGAGGATTACAAATTCAAAGCCAGCCTCAGCAATTTAGCCAGGTGCTAAGCAACTCAGTGAGACCCTGAGACCCTGTCTCTAACAAAATACAAAATAGGGCTAGGGATGTGGCTCAGTGCTCAACTGTCCCTGAGTTCAATCCCTGGTACCCCCCCCCCCACACCAAAAAAAATAAAAAATAAAAATCTCAAATGCTTTGATGCACTGCTTAGAAAAATAAGGAATTTCAGGGCAAAACACAGTAAGTGAAGGCGGGGACACAGAGAGATGTAAGTGGAACACTGAAGCAGGCTTTTGTTCTGAAGGTGCTTGCCTAACTAGGTGAATTTGAGATTTTTGTGAATGTCTCATGGGAAAAGGGAACACCCCGGAACAACCTCAATAAGAGGAATTTAGCAGGAGTTTCTCCTTCCATAAAGGTGGGATTCAAAGGACTACATTCTCATGATAAGAGTAATCCAGATATCCAGAAATAAACTTGTCCCCTTCTCCCTTGAGTGTACGGTTAATGAAGATAGATCCTGGGATCAGCTAATTACAAAGACGTTTTTCACATAGTACATCCAGGAGGTCATCCAAAAGTCTTGTGAAACGCAAGAGAATTCTTGGTTATAAGGAATCATCCCTTGAATTGCAACACTCTAGAATTCCTGACCAAATTCCAGTAGCATGTCTTTTTAATTGAGAAAGACAAAAACTCAAATTTCCAAAATGTCCCCATGTAGACCATTGGCCCATTCTATACTGTCAAGTTGACAGGGACCAATTTCTGAAAGACTTTAATAGATTTTACCTCCAGCTCAGACTTCAGAGCTCTCTGAACCCTCTTTAGCTGGTCAGGATCAAGTTCATTATTATAACTTGCCCAGTGTTACAGGTAGGCCTGCAGACGTGGAAATTACCATAACTTCAGAACCTACCAAGGAGGCCGAATCTTCTCTAGCCCAGCAGGAGGCCCCAATTCAGCCAGAGGCCTCTGTTCAGGAGGCCCCAGTTCAGCCAGAGGCCCCAGTTCAGCCAGAGGCCCCAGTTCAGGAGGCCCCAGTTCAGGAAGCCCCAGTTCAGGAGGCTCCAGTTCAGGAGGCCCCAGTTCAGCCAGAGGCTCCAGTTCAGGAGGCCCCAGTTCAGCCTCCAGAGTATGCGGAGGAGGTAGAACCTTCTCCAACCCAGCAAGAGACCCCAGCTCAGCCTCCGGGCCCTCCTGTGGAGACTGAACCTTCTCTCAGTGAGCAAGAGACCCCAACTCAGCCTTCTGAGTCTCCTGGGGAGGACCAGTCTTCTGAAAGCCAGCTGGAAGTACCGGTGCAATCTCTAGACTTGCCCAGTGTGACTGGTAAACCTGCAGATGTACTAATGACTATAACACCTGAACCCACTACAGAGGTGGGAACTTCTTTGACCAATTCCAACTAATGACTTAGGACCTTCTGCATCCCAGCCTGAAGCCCCAACTGTGCCTCCAGAGCTCCCTAACGATGTAGGTCAATCTCCAGAAGGTGAGGATGTGACAGGTTCTTCTCTAGGTTCTGATCAAGCTGAGTCTCCTACTCCAGAATTGAATAATGAGGTTGAAACTTCAGCACAACAGGAGACCCTAGATGAGTCCTCAGTGTCCCCTGAGCAGTTGGAACCTCAGCCAAGCCCCCCTCTAGAGGAGGAACAACCTCCAATTGATCAAGAGGTCCCCAGTCAGCTTGAAGAGGTGCCTGAGGAATCTTTATCAAGTCAGCAGGAGAGCTCATCTCTGCCCTCAACACCCCCCGTGAGTGTTGAACTTCCACCAGTCCAGGAAACACTCCCAACTAAACCTCCAGAATCCACATTTGTCCTGACTATTGCTTCCTTCATTCAGTGATTCCATGTCATTTTCACCTCTTTCAAGATCTAGAAGTAATGTTCAGAAGTGGGTCTTCAAATTTGCCTAAAACCACAGTTCAACATGTGGCTCTGATAGTTACTGTACCTTCAGAAGCCACTAAAGAAGTTGAGCCAGTTTCCACCCAGCAAGTTACAGTTTATCCAACCCAGTCGAATGCCCCTTCCCAGTCTCCAGGATTCCCTGAAAACTTTGGATTCTCTTCAGCTCAGCAAGCAACCACAACTCAGATGGAAACTTCAACTCAGGTCCTAAGTCAGAATCAAGCTCAGGATTTAACATCACCCAGTGTTACATTTCAACCTTTGGACCTGGAACTCACCTCAACTCCAAAACCCGCTAAACGTTCTAGAGCGAAGAAGAAGCCTGTAGCTCTTTCACCGTTCCCTATAGCTATTGGAACGTTCTCTATATCTCTTCCAACGGTCCCCATATTTGTTTTTCCAACCATGCAGAAAACCTCAACTTTGCTTCCAAAGTATCAAGAAGGAATAATTCCAACACAAGAAACTTCAACTCAGCCACAGGTCCTAACTGAGAATCAAGTTCATTATCCAACAGTATCCAGCTTCGCATTTAAACCTGTGGAAGTGGAATTCCCCATAACTCCAGAGCCCAATGTGGGGGTTGAAAATCCTACAGCTTTTCCCCCAAAGCCCCACTACGTGGAACTCCCCATAACTCCAGAGCCCAATGTGGGGGTTGATCATCCTATAGCTCCTCATGGTTTCTTAATAGTCTTGCTGAGCTGTCTATGTTCTTTTCAAGTTGAAATACTTTATCTTCATTATCTGATGTTCTATCTTCTAAGTGTTCTACTCTGCTGGTAGTATTCTCAATTGAGTTTTTAAGTTGGTTTATTGCTTCCTGCATTTCTAGGATTTCTGTTTGTTTGTTTTTTATAACCTCTATCTCCCTGTATAGTTGATCTTTTGCTTCTTGGATTTGTTTATGTAATTCATTGTTGAAGTGATCTTTCATTGTCTGATTTTGCTGTCTGATGTCTTCCTTGAGACTCCAGATCATCTAAAGCATGTATATCCTGAATACTTTTTTTTTCAGAGTAGAAATTAGAAGTTTATTAAAGGACAGCAGAAAAGACTTCTCCCAGAGGAAGAAGGGGACCCAAGAGGTGGAATCCGTGGAAGTGCGATTGTTTCCCCTTTTTATAGTTTTGGTGATGGAATGTAGGTTGGAAGGCCCGAGGGGTGGGACACAGGTGGGCCAAAGAAGTAATCTGGTCAGGAAGGACTTCTGAGTCAGCACCTTTTTGCTGGGGGCTGTTCATTAACATTTCTTTGAGGTGGACTTTGGCCTAGGGCCTTTTCAGGACTTCATTAACATTCCATGAGTTGTCCTGTGTTTTCCCTGAGTCATTCTCTGCATGGTCTCCATTTTAGATTTCACTCGATATTAGACCCGATTTATCTAACTACACTGACTACCTAATTTTAAATCTGGCTTCATTCCCCCCTATAAGTTGGGAACTCCTTACTGCTGTAAGGAAGGGGGGCGAAGAAGATCTTTCTGGCTTCTTCAGGCTGAAAAGGGACGATGTGGGGCAAGCAGTTTCGAGTCCCCCTTTAAAAATCGGGTCTATCGAGTGGTCCATGGTATATCCTGAATTCTTTATCTGACATTCCATCTGCTGCAGCTATTACCTCTTCTAACGTTGAGTTGACCTGCATTGCTTGTGGTCCTTTCTTTCCTTGTCTCTTCATACTGTTCGCGTTCCTTTCTACTTGGTGAAACTGTTGTGCTATTGAATTTTCCCCCTATATATTTATATTGGTCTTGTATAGTTGCAAAGTCTCCCTTGCAGGCGCGGGCAGCGGCTCTGCCCCTCCTCCAATTGGGGCAATGTGCCTACCACACCGGCAGGCCGCTGGGCCTGCTCTGCCGGTCGGTAGCAGGTCCGCCTACCTTGCAGGCGCGGGCGGCAGCTCTGTCCCTCTGCGGGCCGCTAGGCTTGTTCTGTCGGTGGTCGCAGTTCTACCTACTTTGCAGGCGCAGGCAGCGGCACTGCCCCTCTGCAGGCCTCTGGGGCTGTTCTGCCTGTGGGTCGCAGGTCCGCCTACCTTGCAGGCATGGGGGGGGGTGGCTCTACCCTTCCTCAGGCCACTGGGCCTGTTCTGTCTGTCGGTTGCAGGTCTGGCCTGTTCTGTCTGTCGGTTGCAGGTCTGGCCTGTTCTGTTGGTGGTCACAGTTCCGTCTACCTTGGAGGCGCGGGGGGAGGGGGCGGCTCTGCCTCTCAGCAGGCCGCTGCGCCTGTTCTGCCAGTGGGTCGCAGGCCCGACTACCTTGCAGGAGTGGTTGGCAGCTCTGCCCCTCCGCGGGCCACTGGGCTTTTTCTGTCGGTGGTCACAGTTCCGCCTACCTGGCAGGCGCGGGGGGTGGGGGTGTCAGATCAAAAGTCTCAAGCCTTAGACTTTTAAGTCCAGCAGATGCACACTCACTCAGACCATGGTGATCAGATCAGGAACCAAGGCAGGCTTCTGGGGTGGAGCTGACTGCTAGTTGAGGTTGAGGAGAGGGTTGTAGGGAGAAGTTGCAACTCTCACCAGGGTCAAGATGTGGCTGTAGAGTTTGAGAGCGGTGAGACCTGCAGAGGATCAGGCAAACAATGACAAGTGATGGGATGTCAGTCCAGGTCCTCATCAAGCTCTCCAGCTTCTGTGTATCAGTATTGGCTGGATAAATGTCTGTTCATTTGCTCTATTATTTATACTATATTTGGGGGCTTTCGACCCCCCTTTCAATCCTTATCAGCTGCCACTGGATTTCTCAGTGACATCATTTACTCTGGGATTAAAACTTCTGGTTTGGGGGCTGCAGTTGTGGCTTAGCAGTAGAGTGCTTGCCTAGCACATGTGAGGCCATGAGTTCGATCCTCAGCCCCACATGGAAATAGATAAAGATATTGTGTCCAACTACAACTAAAACATAAATATTTAAAAACAAAACATCTGGTGGATCTTTTCGCCTTTCCCAATTATAGGGCACCTTTCCCTCTTCTGCCAGAGGCTTCACTCTGAGTTTATTGAGGTGGGGGCCTGAGGGCCATCCTGGAAGCTCCATTAGGCTGCCTGATGAGACTGCAGATTTCAAACTGGAGTTTTTAAAATGAGTTGCTTAGGCTCAGGCCTAAGGCCATCCTCACAGAGTTCTCTAGAGTACTCCTGAGTTTGATCCTCAGCCTGGGGAATAAAACATACAAGAAGAAGGTGATGGAGCTGGGCGAGGTGGCATTCACCTGCAACCCCAGCAGCTCGAGAGGCTGAAGCAGGAGGATTGTGAATTCACAGCCAGCCTCAATAATTTTGCAAGGCCCCAAGCAACTCAGCAAGATCTTGTCTCTAAATTAAAAAATAAAAAGTATAAAAAGGGCTAGGGATGTGGCTCAGTGGTTAAGCACCCCTGGGTTCAATCCCTGGTACCAAAAAAAAAAAAAAAAAAAGATGATGATGAAATGGGCCAATGTACTATTGGGCAAAAACTATACAGAAAGGAGGTGTGGGTTCAGGGAGGGAAAGTTCATCTAAGGAGAACCCATGAAAAAGATGTAGCTTGAGCTAAGTCTGGGTTATAAGTCAGACACCGTTTCTGGTATTGGGGTTAAGAGCTGACTAGGACAGAATCTCTTTCCTCAAGGGGCTTCTCGACTGGAAATACTAAGAGGGCTTCATGTAGATGAGGGCCATACCCTGAGGAAGGTGGAGCAAGAAGATAGATAGAGCCTGGGTCTCTGACATATGAACCACCAGACTTTTTATTATTATTTGTATTTATTCTTTTTAGATATACATGACAGTGGAGTGTCTTTTTTTAATTCTTTATTATTTATTTTTAGTCATACATGACAGAAGAAGTGTGGTGTGTCTTTTGACATACATACATGCAGTACAACTTACTCTCATTAGGATCCCATTCTTTTTTTTTTTAAATATTTTTTAGCTGTCAATGGACCTTTATTTTATTTATTTATATGTGGTGCTGAGAATCAAACCCAGTGACTCACACATGCTAGGCAAGCGCTGTACCACTGAGCCACAACCCCAGGCCTAGGATCCCATTCTTGATGTGGAGTACATGATGTAGAGTTACATTAGTCATATGTCACATATGAGCATAGAAAAGTTATGTCCAATTCATTCTACTGTCTTTTCTACATGATGGTGTGTGTAGGAAACACCAGACTTCTTTATTGGCTTTATTACATGACAACTCAGAGAACATTCTTAACCCACTATTGGGCTGGGTGTCACTTGTAGCAGCTGGACCAACAACCTAATAAAGGAATGGATTAGCGGTTGCTACCGAAACTCCACATTGGAATAAGGATTGCTACCGAAACGCCACATTGGAATAAGGATCCCTGCAGCAGAATCCTGTAGCTGTCTAATATAGATACTTCTCTAATGCTATGCTAACCACTGAGCGGTATCTCTCCCTGCATCTCTGTTCCAAGTGTGCTCATTCTGCAGTCCAGGCTGGAGATGCCATAGCTGCCTGAGAGATGTACTTCTCCTGGTGAATGCAAAAACACACAAGGGCCAGCAAAACTTCAGCAGGCCTTTTGTACTTTATTTGAAGGGTCAAAGCAAGCCCAAAGCCAGAGGACAGGAAAGGACATTCCCACTACATGGAGACCATGGATGCCAGGAGGGGAGAGAAATTGGGGCCAGTAATTCTCTCGTAGTATGTGATGATCCCTGGTTTGGAGGTTACACAATTTGGACCCACTCTTCTAGTGATCACCTGGAATTGCAGCCTACTGAAAAGAAATGCCACCACTGTGGTGATTCAGCCACCTTCTTAATTAGATCAGGAGTCCTGACAAGGAAAGAATCATGTCTCCTTCCTCTCTACCCTGCTCCTGCTCCCTTTCTCCCAGTGCCTAGCACCATGCCCTGCCCTTAGGGATGACTCAGAAATATTACTGAGTGAATTTTAAACCATTCCTTCATTCTCACCATGTGATTTGTTACAAAAGAGAGACATGTGCTAAGTATTTGCCCCATAAAATGTAAAGAGATTGTGCCATCTGAAGCTGAGATCTGTGCCCAGATCTGACTCATGCCAGTTTTGAATCTGCTACCTCCCGTAGGGACCTCCAGAAGAAAGGACTAAACACCAAAACAGGTTAGTGAAATTTCTTTCTCTAGAGGCCATTTGAAACTGGAAAGAGTCTCATCACCTGAAATATCCTAGGAGGAAGGCTGTCTGAAGGCACCAAGCTAGTCAAGGATCCACATGGCTTAAGGACAATTTCAAGACAGTGAGATTTACCTTTAAAGCCCATGCTGCACCAGGCAGTGATGCACACCTATAATCCCAGGGACTCAGGAGGCTGAGGCAGGAAGATCACAAGTTCAAAGCCAGCCTCAGCAACTCAGTGAGATCCTGTCTCAAAATGAAAGATAAAAAGGACTCAGGATGTAGCTCAGTGGTAAAGTGCCCTGGGTTCAATCTCTAGTATTAAAAAAAGTATGTAATATTTATGTATAATATGTTTTGCAAATATAAATTCATGCAAATTAAAAATTTATAGTCAACTTCTAAGTCACACTAGCCACACATCAAGGGCTCAATAGTCACATGGCTAATGGCCACCATATCAGATAGCATAGGAGACTATTTTCATCTCTACAATTCTGATGGACATGCTGGTAAGGGTATTTCAGAGAGGGCAACTGGGAGGCTGCAATATCACTGGGTATTTAACAATGAATTTGAAAAAAATACAAATTGGGAATTAGGTCACTATACTGGGAGAGTGGTTCCCAGGAAATTACCTAAATTTGCCTAAAACAAGCTTATAGACATTATTTTACTTTTACTTTTTTTTTTTTTTTTTTTTTTACAAAAAACAGCTTAAACTTTTTAGCTCCTGCCAGTCTCTCTCTCCTCTTAGGAGCTCACAAGCAACAAAGTGAATTAATAAGTAGCAAGGGAACATTAAAGGAAAAATTCAACCAGCTGCCATGCACTGGTTGACATTTTTTCCTCCAAGAAATGTGTGTGGGTCATTGTGATTATATTCCACGTGAATAATCAGCAGCCATAGTTCCTCTTGTTAAGGGTGTTTCCAGTTTTGTAACAGAAATAAGCGTTCATGTACAACTTCCAAACACCATGCCTCCTAAGCAAGTTTGATTATTAGCAAAATAAGGGATGGGGAATCTGCTTGGAAGTAACCTGAATCTAGGCCAATTAGATGGGAACATGGTGGAGAAAACTATAACACCAAACTTTCTCTTAAAGGAAGAATACACATAGACTGGAAGGGGACAGGAAAATAAAGGTTGCCCTACTCAAAAGGTAACCTCTGGAACAGTGATTTCCAATTAATAACTGCAGATCTTTGGAGAGCCCATCACAGCAGGAAGCCTCTGAATGCATGTGTGCACCATGCAATATTTGCAGAGCAAATAAATCCTGTCTGTGTCTCCCAAAAATATAATCACTATATCACTAATAGTAATCATATATTGAATGTATATGCATGTTATCTCATTTAAATCTTACAGCTACTTAGAATGGAGATCTTATTCTCCCCAATTTAATAGTTGAAGAATCTGAAGCTGGAGGATAAATAACTTGCCCAAGTTCAAAAAGATAATATATTAGGGCTTTTTTTTCCATATGAAAGAAATTCAATTAAAATATGCTTAAATAAAAACATGACATATCAGCTTATATAACATGAACCCCTAAGGGCTTAAGGCTGGCTGCATCCATCACTCATTGCATCCACTCCCTATCTGTATCTCAGGTCCACTTTCCTCTGTGATAACTTCAGCCTTGAGAGGACTCCTCTTTTTTTTTTTTTTTTTAATTATTAGTTGTTCAAAACATTACATAGGAGAAGACTCCTCTTATCTGCAAGAATGGTCCAATTCTCCACTGCTGTGGAGGAAATGGCTCAGAGAAAGACCTTCCTCAAAAGGTCTCTGATTGGCCTGTTGGGTCACAGTTCAGGGAAGAGGAGACTCTGATTGGCTGGCCATTGTCTTGCACATATCCTGGGGTGGGGGACTTAAACCTAGCAGAATCACAGTGAGTGAAGGAGGCTCATCCCTAAAGTAAAATAAGAGTGGTACCAAAAATTGGTCCTTGTCCCCAATGCCACTCCAGTAATGAGGACACAGTTTTAAGAAAAAAGGGAAAAAACAGAGGGGACTCTTGTCCCAGAGGCTACATTCCAGGTATGTCTGATGGGTGTGTGTGTGTGTGTGTGTGTGTGAGTGTGTATGTGTGTGTGTGTGTGTGTGTGTGTGTGAGAGAGAGAGAGAGAGAGAGAGAGAGAGAGAGAGAGAGAGAGAGAGAGAGAATTCACTTGTTAATTTGGGAGATTTCTTAGATCTTCTTGAGCCATCCCCCAAGTCTGAATTACTTTATTCCTATGATTAAAGGTATGCTCAAAGACAGAAAACTGGGCCTAGGATAGAGAGGAAGAGTAATCCTGTTTCCCCTGAGATCAGGGAAGGGAAAACTAGGGAAGGGGAGAGAAAAAAAAAAAAAACATGTCTATTTAAAAAATAAGTCTGTGTGTGGCTGTGGTGGTACACACCTGTAATCCCAACAGCTCAGGAAGCTGAGGCAGGAGGATCATGTATTTGAAGTCAGCCTCAGCAACTTAACAAGGCCCTAAGCAACTTAACAAGATCCTATCTCCAAAAAAAAAAAAAAAAAAAGAGGAAGAGGAGGAGGAAGAGGATGGCTGGGGATGTGGCTCAGTGGTTGATTCCCCTGAGTTTAATCCCTGGTACCAAAAAATTTAAAAAAATAATAATAAGTCAATGTGGCAGAGCAGCAAGGGCTATATTCAAAGCATGAAGTGTTACGGGAGGCTCTATTACCAAAAGACAAGGGAATGAGATGAATAATGGAGGATCAAAGACTGAAGCTAGATTGAACTAACCTTTAAAGCACAAACTCAACACTTCTTCACAAGTTCATGGATACTATGCATCTGGAAACCTCTCAAATTCTTTTCTCTGGTTCGATAGTATTTTGCAGGCACCTTTATTATTGTTCCAGTCACAGGGTAACATTTTTTTTCCCCATCTGGAGTCTACCTGGTGCGCTCATGGTCCATTGTGAAATGTTTTGTGGAAATGTGCAATATTTATGTGCATTTGTGCATTGCCCTTTCCTGCCACTTCCTCCATCCTCCCCCATCTTAACTCCAGGCCTTTATATAGCTTCACCTTGTATAGAGCAAGATGAGAAGAGGTAGACAAGCATGGAAACTTTTCAGATATCAGGAGCCTGGAAAATAAGGGACCAGGAAACAGAGACTCCTGAAAAACAGACAAGAGATTATTTTGAGGAATTCCACACAGTTATCCTTTCAACAGCTGAACAAAAATGCAAGGGAATAACTGAGGGACATGAAGTGCTTGATTTAGGGGCAGGACATGCTTCTTCTAAACCACCAATATCTGTCTGTGATGATTATGACCAGAAACAGCTATCCTTTTGCCAAAGTAGGTAAGTTTCCCTAGAAAACACCTTACCTTCCTTCTTGTTTAAAATGAGTTTGACACAAAAGAATAGTTTGTACGTGCGTACTTGTCATCTTCCTGCTCAATATCAACTGTATTGAATGAACACTGTGACCCATCTAGCCTGAAACTGAGGGGAGGAGAATTACTGAGCAGGCAGCCCACTAACAAGGTGGGGGACCACACCCAACAGTTGTTTTTATAAATGGAAACAGGAACTGGGCCCCCTAGATTTGTGGAGATATGAGGGCCACCTTCCTTGCCTAGAGGCCAAGGGAGCATAAGACCTCCAACCAAAGTCAGTGTAGCTTCTTTCCAAGAATTGGCCTGTCCCTGGTCACCCTTGTGCTACTCTCTTAGGACGCGCAAGTACCTCTCCTGACCCTAATAATTCACAGTCCATGCTCAGGCCCTAGGCTCCCATTGATTGAAGTTTGCAAGTGTGAAGTGCCCAAAGAACTGTCCCTGGCTCCAAGGGTTCCAGGCGCAGTTGCTGCTCTTGATATTTTTCTTCTAAGTTCATTTGAAAGAGCGATGTCACTTCTACAAGGAAAGAAAACAAATAACTACAAGGCTGGAAGAGGAAAAGCGAACCCCTGGGCTTCAGGTCTTCAGGATTGTGTTGAACACATGAGACTGCCCAGAGAAACCTCAAGGTGATCACGTGGTATTAGGTGCCTTCAAAATAGGTGTGTATTCCCGGCTCTTAAAAGCCAGGAGGAAGGCTCCAATTTGAGCCCAGGCTCTACCCACTGGGTTGGACTGATGCCTTTGGGAGGCAAAGGAAGAGTAGGTATTAAGAGTGGGTATTATTGGTACTACTCAAGTGGACTGTCGTCGGCTTTGTGAGGCTAAGTCACTACCCCAAAGTCGCTCAGTTGATGCCGATCGAGCGGAGTCAGGGACCCAGAAGCCTGGATCTACCAGCGCGGTCCGACTTGGGCCGGTGTACAGAGATCTAGATCCACTCACCTGCGGATGGGGCTCCGCACCCTCCGGCTTCGAAGAACTCCTGGCCCCGGCCCTCTGATCCTCAGAGCCTCACTATTGACTCCTCGGGCTGGAGGCGGGGCGGAGCGCCAAATCAACGAGATGGCGTCAGGCGCTGGGGCGCCGCTTCCTGTTGTCAACGGCCAGGAGGCTGCAGCGTCGGTTCCGAGGCTGAGGGGCTGCCGCGGCCAGGAGCGCCCCCAGCCCCGCTCCCTGCTCCTTTTGGTGAGTTAGGGGTCAGTGGGTGAAGAGGGCAGCGCTGGGGCGGCGGGGCCGTTACGCCAACCGGCAGTAGGTCCTCCAGCCCTCGCGGTGATCCCAGAGATCTTGGTTGCCTCGAGACAGTCCGGCTTCGGAGCCCTCTGCCCTCCCAGCCCGCACCGGGCTCCCACCGTAGCCTTCGGTCCGCGCTGCCACCGCTGGCCTGTTCCGTCCATTTTCTCCTACCCGTGACCCAACCTCAGCTCTTGCTCCCATCTTCTTACCACCGGTCTTGCATAAATGCAGCCTCACTCGTGACCTCTCTTTAACCTAGTTGCAACTCCGATCTGGATGTATCCCTTACCTCCTTTTTATCTAATCCTCACCCCACAACCCCCCTGGCAATCCTAATACTCCGCACAAACCTCCCCTAAATTCACCATTCATGTTTCCCCTTTTCTGGCTCAGCTCTCTCATCCCCAGCTCCCAATGTCTACCCAGCCCCCTAAGGTCTGTTTATCCCAAACGTCTACCTCTCTCCTCCTCTCATGCCCTGTTGAGCTCACCCGCTTCGTGTTAACTCCTCTTTCAGCCTTCTCCCAAATTTTATGTGTAGCTTCTTCACAGACTTTGCCCTTAACTTCCTAGCTCATTATGTATTTCTTTTCCCTCCTCTACCATCGCGAGGAAACCCCATTCCTAAGTCTTTATCTGTCCCCATCTCTAGTTGCCTCAGTTCCTATCACCCTCTTCCTTTTATTAACAGAGATCTCCATGTCCTTTCACCTTTTGTCCCTGTAGCAACTCTTCACATCAATTCTGCCCATTCTTTCCTTGACAGCTCCCATTCAGCCTGAAATTGTAGTGCAGAGCTCCCTGCCAACCCCACCAGCTAACCCTGAACAGTCAAGTCTAGGTGCTTGCTCAGAGGTGAGCAGCTTGATAGACCATGCAGCTTGTTTGGTTAATGAGTGCAGAGGAGTAGAGTTCCTCTACTCTTGGGTCAGAGATTTTTTCCTGGTGTCTGGTCCTTTTATTATTATTATTATTTATTTTTTAGTGGTACACAATACCTTTATTTTGTTTATTTATTTTTATGTGGTGCTGAGGATCGAACCCAGGGCCTTGCCTGTGCTAGGCGGGCGCTCTACCACTGAGCCACAACCCCAGCCCTGATGTCTGGTCCTTATACCTGTCCCCAGGGATTGTTTTTTCACCGTTCATATTATATTACTTGTGTTGACTGTTGGAATGATAGGTGTCACTGAAATTCCTGCAAGGTGAGAGATGGTCCCTCACCCAGCTCACTCACCCTGGGACAGTTGAAGCCCTTGCTTCCTTTTGACTGGTATTCTGGCTCTGGAGAACCTCAGGGAATGCCAGTGGGGTTGGCTGTAATTACAGAGCCATGGCCATGTGTCTTGTCCTGGCACTTGTGGAGGATCCTGTCCCAGTGCTCCTTGCCAGAGCTGATGGCAGATCAGTTCCAGCACTAAACACAGGGATCACATAGTGTCAGAGGCATGTTACATGTGAACAGTAGAGGTGGTGGGTCCTGAGGAAGCTGAAGTGTAGGTGGGTGCAGAAGCTGTTGAATTGCTTCCTCTTTTCTGTGCTGGGTCATTGAATTTTAGCCATTTGGGTTTCATGAACACAGGAAGCCACATTATCTCACAGTAACTGAGGCAGAGGGATGTTTCTGAGGCACCTAGGGCTCATGCTCAGTGGTTAGTTTCCTGGGGACTTTTTGATGTACATTTCCTCTGAATTCTGATGACCTGGTTTCAGAAGGATTAGCCATTTGATGGCAATTTGTTTATTTTTTTTGGTGCTGAGATCTAATCCATCTAATCCATCTAATGCACATGCTTACACTGAGCTACACCCCAAGCCCTGGCAGGATTTATAGGGCCCCCAAGAGGACCCATTGTCTTTGCTTGTCACTATGGTCTTTTCTTTTGAAAACTGAATACACTGCTACCTTCAATATCCTGCCATTAAGATGTGACTTACATGAATGGCTTTCACCCTTACTGGCAGCTTTGTTTAATGGCGGGAGTTCCACAGTACCCCTACCACTTCAGAATGGTGTACCTCAGTTTTCCACAGTCTTAAAAATGAATCTACCTGCACTATGCCCTGTTTTAATTTTATTCATCAAGTCATTCAACAAGCATTTTCCAAGTACTACTGTGTGCTAAGCACAGTTCTAGGTATAGAAATGCAATGTGAATGACTCAGGCAGAGTTACTATTTTCTTTCATTCAGAGTTTGTTCCTTGCCAGGCATGGTGGTACACACCAGTGACTTGGGAGGCTGAGGCAGGAGTATTGCAAGTTTGAGGCCAGCCTGGGCAACTTGGTGAGACTCTGTCATAAAAATCAAAAGGTCTGGGGATGTAGCTCAGTGGTAAAGTGCTCTTGGATTCAAGCTCCAGTAAACAAACAACAAAACCAGAATTTACACTTTGTTAGAATTCTACAGCACATGGGACAAGAATATGGGGAAATAGTTGTTTTTGGATGGAAAGAAGGAGGGAGGAAAGAAAGATATTCAGTGTTTACCATTTTCACAATTCTGCCTTTGCCCACTAATCCTTGGTCCAAGAATTACAAGCTAGAAATTTCTCACCCTCCAGTGTATTTTTTTTTTCTTTTTCTTTTCTTTTTTTTAACTGGAAATTGAACCCTGGGGCACTTAACCACTGAGTCACACCCCCAGCCCTTTTTATTTTTATTTTGAGACAGGGTCTCACCTAGTTGCTTAAGGCCTCGCCAAATTGCTGAGGCTGGCCTCAAACTTGTGATCCTCCTGCCTCAGCCCGGGATTACAGTGGTGTACCACCACACACTGCCTCATCCTCCAGCAAATTTCATTTGAAATTATTGTTCTGAAGGACTTATCCTCTCCCTCCACCCCACCCCATCCAGGAAGGACACTGGTCCAGAAATCCACCTTGCTTCATATAGAAGGAGATGCTGTTTACTCATTCAGCACTCACATGTCTGAAAGATCAGCTGCCTTTCCGAATCAGAAGATAACTTTGTCATTCTTTTCCCAGTGAAATAACATGACTCATCAGTTAGTACAGCAGTTAGATGGCATAAACACCAGTCTGTTGTTCTGAACAACCAGGGTAAGATTCAGACAGTAGACAGAAGGCTGTTAGGAGAGGCTGAGAATTCTCTGAAGAGAATAGGTTGCTGTTTACTGATGGGTTGAATGTTTTGAGAGTGGTAACGTCAGCTTATCCATTTCTTCATTTAATGTAAGTCTTGTCTAAGCTGTTCTTCTCTTTTTATTTCTTCCTTGATCTCTGGAGGAAATGAAATTGGACATTCTGTATATAGAAGGACAAGCAGTATAATGAAGAAAAACAACTAGGACGGTTTTTTCCTGGTGTTGAAACATTTAGAAAAGACAGCTGTGAAACTCAGGTACCCTGAGAAGGACTTGGGCTTAGCTGTTTGGGACTATGAATCTGATCACAGGATTGTGTCTTGTTGCTTACAGGCCTTATAAGCAGAGCTTCTGACCACAGCTCTGAAGAGTCTGGAAATAGTAGTTTCCTTAAAAACTTTCAAGCCAAAGACCTAGGATAGTTTGATATGATGAAAGGACAAGGAGACCAGAGAATTCTGTCCCTTAGCTGAGCCCTATTTATATTTAACTTCTATTTTCTCCTCTGTAAAATAGGGATGATCATCTTTATGGAATTACTCTAAGAATTAAATGAGATTGGAAAACGAGATCAGAGAAACTTGCTTTGTTTACTTTGGAAAGCAGCAGAAGGTTGAATTAATGTCAGCTTAGGGGTGAAGATAGCCTTATTGTGATTCGGGGTTTCCTAAATAGTGGTAGTCACCTTTCCCCTGCCATTCTTTCCCTAGTAGTGTTGCCCAAGTTCTCTCTTTCCCCTTCAGTGAAGCCATGGTTCTTTCCAGTTTGGTTTTTGGTGTCAATAAGGGATATTCTGAGGACAGGAAATGACACCAGCTGGTCTAGTGGCAGATTTAGGGTCTGAGCCACCAAATGGATAATGGAACAGTGACCAAAGCCTCCATTAGTTTCCACCAGAAAGTTCTTACGTCATTGATGGTCACGTTCCTGCCTCCTTGAAGTACTGTGGAAGAGCTGTGAATAAGTAGGCTGCTTGGGCTTCCTACAAAGAAAGGTAGAGGTATCCTGAATTGTGGCCTGAGCCTCAAAGTCTTGGTTCTGTTTTGTAAATTGTGAAATGGCTGTTCTGAATTCCTCTTAGCTGTTAGTAATTTTGTGGCTTTCTAACCCTTAATTTTAGGCAAGTTATTTGTCTCTTATCAAGTTATTTGTCTCCCTTCCCCCCATCTCTCTCTCTTTTTTCCTGAACCCAGGAGCACTCTACCAGTGAACTATGTTCTCACCCTTTTAATTTTGAGACAGGTTCTCCCTAAGTTGCTGAGGCTGGTCTTGAACTTGGGATCCTTCTGCCTCAGCTTCCCAAGTTGCTGGGATTGCTGGTGAATATCCCCCACGCCCAGCTGACCGCTCTTAACTTCAGTTTATTTTGTTTGTTTTAGCAGACTGGTCCTTGGCCAGAGCACTTAATTATTGATAGCTTCTCCTAATGAGTGCTGTGTTACTCTCAGCTAATTAGTTAATGAGGTATTAATGGATCCAAGCTACTATACAGATTATTGAAGTCTATGCCCTTAGGGTCCTTATAACTGGTTGAGGAAAGGGAAACTTTGAAGCTTAAGGGCTCTGTCTATAAGGCTTGAGGGAGTGGTTTAGGCCACTGAAATTGTGGATTAGGCTTGCATCCCTGGTTCTTGAGCCAGGGGCCGGATTTTACCTGTTGGACAGCATGAGGTTAACTTTGAAGGAACCCAGCTTCCAGGATCTAGGCATGTTGCCAGGCATGAC